AGGGCTGCAGGCCCGGCCTCCTTGGGGTGGGCCGAGGGCACGGTTGGGCGAGTGCTCCCTGTGTCCTCCCGCGGCCCCCGGCAGGTCCTCGGCCCCTTGCGATGCTGGGGCCGCTCGGCCTTGCTGTGGGGCTGCTCTCCCGCAGGGACTCCGGCCCCGTTGACCTCCCTTGACGGTTCCGGGACAACTGGGTGGCGTCTAGGGCCTGGCCCCAGCAGTCGCCTGTGCTAGCCTGGCACCGCCCGCCGCTGTGCGGAGAGATGTGCCGAGGGCCGTCTGCCTCCCGGCCTGTTCGTGTGGAGCCGCGCGCAGGCCGAGCTGCCGGGCTGGGGGTGGGCTCGTACGTGTGCGTTCCCTGGGCGCAGCAGGGGCAGGCGCTGGCGCTTGGTCTTGCGGTGCTGTGGCTTCGCGAGGTCTCCCTAGTGCCCTGCGTCCGCTGTGAGGCTGGGGCTGCGGTGACCAGCTAAATCCCAGAGAAGTTCGGGGCCCCGCCCAAGGGCACACGGCGGGAGAGGGGCCGGGCCGGGATTGGAACGAAGAGCTCCTTGGCTTCCGGCTGCAGTTCCCTTCCACCCTGCTGCCGTCCTCCACGTTCACAATGCGGCAGTTGTTGAGTGTGCGTGCGTGTGGATGCGTGTGCATGTGTGTATATGTGTGCATGTGTGTGCGTGCGCGCATGTGCATGTGTGTGCACGTGTGTGCACATGTGTGCGTGTACGTGTAGGTATGTACGTGTGTGCATGTGTGTGCAGGTATGTATGTGTGCGCATGTGTGTGTAGGAGCTGGCAGTGGGCTTTGGTGAATCTCATCAGTGGTCAGGCTGTACCCTTGAGGATCTACCTGTGAAGTTTGGAATTTTCCCTGCATGGCAGGTGCAATGGCAGCCTTCTTGGAGCCAGTGGGCATGTCCTGATGGACCAGCTGGCCCCAGCCGTGCCAGGCAGACACAGTGCTTGTGGCTGCTCAGCCTGCGTGGGCCGGCAGAGGAGCCATGCTCAGACCACCTGGGAATTTTCTGTGTCCTTTCCCTAGACCTAGCCCCAGCCGGAGACCCGGGAGGGCCAGCCCTGTGCTCCAGCCAGTCTAGTCCTCCCTGCCGCGTGGCCCAGCAGTGGCTTCTTTGCTGTTGGAAGTCCCGTTCCTGCTCTGGGGCTTCTCCGTGTGAAGTCACACAGCGGCTGTGCTGGGGCCTGGCCCTGCCCTGGCCTTGGTCTCCCATCTCCACCAGGCGGGGGGCCACGGGCTCTGAGGCCTTCTGCTCTGAGCGTCTCTCCCCTGGGCACCCCGTCCCGGCCTCAGCTCTGGCCTCCTCGCGCCAGCCTTGCGGGAAGGTAAAGCCGTGGCGGGACTGGTCCCGCTTCGGAGCTGCTCCGCGCTGATGCCCCAGGGAGACCACGCGGCCCCTGTGGCCGGGCACTCGCAGAGTTTCACTGGGCAGGTGGAGAGGGGTGGGTGGGAGAGGGGGCAGTGGGCGCTTCCAGAGCCATGCGCAGGTGGCAGTCACTGTGGTCCCCAGGTGCCAAGCTCTTGACTGTGTCCACTCTCAGGAAGCCAGAGGGGCTGGGTGTGCAAGGCCCCCAACGGGCACCAGGGTGGACTCTGTCCTCTGAGCCCGGCCTGGCCACCTCTGGGCCCGCTCCTGTCTTCTCCGGCTGTGGCGAACCCATCCCGAGGGCTCCGTGATGGGCAGGAGCCGGCTCGGCCCTGGGGACTCGGCACCCTGCTCCCTCTGGGTGCTGTAGGGTGGGGGGTCCGAAGGGAGGGGGAGGCGAGAGGGGCCTGAGCGTGTCCTGGTGTCCAGCAGGGCCACCCTGGGCCTCTGTCCACCTCCTCCACCTGGCACCTCTCTCAGGTGCCTGGGGTTGTGGGGGCCACAGGAGCAGGTAGGGTGCAGGGGGACCCCATGCAGCCCCCAGCACCCCTGGGTGCCTTGCAGGGATGCTGGGAGGAGGGCCAAGTGCTGAGTCTTAGGCCATAGGCCTGGCCGCCCCAAATCACCTGACCCCTGGCCACAGGAACTGGGCCAGAGGCAGGAGTGAGGCTGGGAAAGGGGGGTGCAGAGATGGAGACCCCCACGGAATTTCCGGGCCCGAGGGGCACACGGCCGTGCTGGGCCTGGGGTGCTGGGGAAGGCGGCTCGGCCAAGGAAGGGTCCCCAAGTCCACCTCCTCCAGCCCCTGCCTCACTCGCCGCCTTGTGTCGTAGGGGCTGCGGGAGGGGGTGTGGGGCTCGGGGCCGGGTGGGTGTGTCCCCAGGAATGCTGGCCCTCGTCTACGCCCCCAGCTCTCTGGCTGCCCGGCCTGACCTCCTGCTTCAGGGGCCAGGGTGCTGACCCCCCAGTGCCCATAGGAGGTGGCTCCTGGTGGTGCCCTGCCTGGGTCCAGGTCGGCCTCTTTGCAAACTCTGGTTTTATTTCTTCATTCACCTGGCTCTTCCCGAGCACCCAGCTGGGGCCAGGCCTGTGCTGGGCACTCCCAGCTGCAGCCTCTCCCCCGGGCGGGCTGGTGGGCACTGCGCCCAATCCATCTATGGCGGGGCGGGGGGGGCGCCTGCTGAGATGAGGGAGGGAAGCGTGGTGCAGGTGCAGGGAGAGGGTGGGGGAGGGAGTTGGCGTGGCAGGGGACTGGGCTGCTCAGGTGACAGACGCCCTGGGGACTCACAGGCTGGCTTGGGCGAGGCACTGGGGAGCCAGAGTTGGTTTGGGAGCAGGACAGGGAGCAGCCAGCTGGGGTTGGGCAGTGCACTCTGGCTCCGAGGGGCAGGGGGCTCGGAGAGGTGAGGCTGGATGCAGGAGGGGCCGAGAAGGAGCTCCCAGGGGTCAGGCCAGCCAGGCAGGGGTGCAGCAAGGAGGTAGAGCCCAGTGTCACCCCCCAAGAGGCTTGTCTGGCTTCTTTCACTAAGCACCTACTGTGTGTCCGGCCGAGGCCCAGACTTTGCATGTCTAATTGCCCCACCACACTCTGTGTGTGTGGGGGGTGCTTTCCCTGCTCACCGATCCGCAGCAGGGAGGGGTGGGTAGTGAGGGCCCACAGGCCTCCCCACCCCGGTCTGCCCGACACCAGCGCCAGAGACTGGCTTGCCAGGGCCCGGCCCGGTGCCAGCAAGGTGCCAGCGAGGCCAGGCCATGGGGGGTGGCAGGGCAGAGGGGGAGGGTGCCCCACAAAGCAGGCCCCTCCGTGCCCCCCCAGCGGACGCTCCTGGCACCCACTGGACACCGAGGACCTCAATTGGGGAGCCCAATTGGGAGACAAAGGCCGGGCTCCGCGGACAAACACTCGCGGACATTGTCCGCCCGGCGGCCGGGCAGCCGCGGCAGGGCCCACAAAGAGCCCGAAGAAAGGGGCCGAGGGAGGGGGCCCTGAATGGGCCGGGGCTGCACATGCCGCCGTTGCCCGGGCGACGGCCCTCTCGCAGAGAGGTCTGCCGGGCCATTGTCCGGGGCCCGCAGGACGTGTCACACACCAGATGGTCGTGTGCTGGCTAGGTCACTTATCGGGGGACAGAGTGAAGGAATGCGGCCGGCGCGGCGGGCCGGGGCGCCATCTGTTCCCTCCGACCGCGGGCACCGGCGGGCCTGGAGCGCCCAGCGGCCGGGCCCGGCCTTCGCCGGGCTTTAATTAGCTAATTCCATAATTGGGCTTTATTTCAGGTAAATTGCATTTCACACCCGAAAGGGCCGCAATGGCCCGTGCGGGAGTGAGGGACTCGCGCTCTGCGTGCGCAGTTGATAATACGGCCACGCGGGCCGGGCGCGGGGGCCGCCCCTGCCCGGAGGGCTTGCTGAGCCCCCTGCGGCCGGGCGGGGCCGGGGCGCTGCGGAGGGCCCTGCTTGCCCCCCCACACATCCCAGGGTTTTCACAAATATTTACCCAACACGGAAACAACAGCTCCCTGCTTTCAGCGCCCGCCCGCCCACCCGCCCGCCCGGGGTGTGGGCTGGGGAGCCCGTGCCGCCCCTCCCCTGCCCTGCCACGGCCAGCGCCGGCCGCTGGACACCAAGGCTCTGTGGGGGGAGCGGGGCCCTCCGACGGGGCCCCCACTCCCTCCCCACGGAGACCTGCATCCCCGCCCCCCCCACTGTGCACCTGCTGCCTCAGTGGACTTGCGACAGCCCCGTTCTTGAATGCTCAGAGGACGCCCCGTTCTTGAATGCTCAGAGGACCCCGGCCCCGATGGGGGCGGTTTCGGGGTGCGCTCAGGAGGAGGAGGGGAGGGGTGCAGACTTGAGGACTGGGATAGCTGGGTGGTGTGTGGGCGCGGTGGGCAGACAAGACCCCCGTCCCGGCCGAGGGTCTGTCCCGTGAGCCGGGGCAGCGTCTCCACGTGCAGGAGGGAGGGCCACGCACAGAGCCATGGGTGCAGGGCGAGGGCGGGTGGCTGGTGGCCTCCTGGCACGCGCCCCCTGCCCAGGGGACTGGACGGGCTCAGGAGCATCATGCTACCGACAGGGAAGTAGAGGCCCTGGGAGCCCCAGCCCTTCCTGGCACTGTGCCCCCAGCGTCCAGGCCTCAGGGACCTGGAGGTGGGCCTGGCCTGGGTGGGGTGGCAGAGAGCCTGAGTCTGTCCCTGTAGGACGCTGCTCCTGCCCAGCACCAGAGCCCCACCGGGCCCCCTGCCCCAGGGCCGCAGGGTCTGTTGGAGACAGGCAGTGACCACACTGTGACCACACACTGCAGCCAGGGCCACACCAGGGGAAGCCCTGGGGCCACCAGAGCCCCAGCCAGGAGGGCCATGGAGTCAGGCTGGAGCCTCTGCTGGCCTCTTGCGGCCCCTCCGACCTCTCCGAATCCCGGCCCACTGCTGAGCGCGTGGACAGGCAGCCCCTGCTTGGTGTCCGCCTGCGCCCAGGGGTCCTGTCCACGAGGGCATCTTGGGGGGTCGGGGATGGTCCGGGCAGGGCCCCTGGTTGGGGGAGCTGGGCAGAGGCCGAGCTCCGGGCAGTCCCGAAGATGGCGTTGGTACGTACCCGGCACTCAAGGCGAGACGAGCACCCAGACCAACCCGTGATTGTCCGTGTTTATTAGGAAAAGACTGTACGATTAAGAACCAAAATCACACCGTGAAACTCCCTCAAACACAGATTCCAAATCACCACAAATTACTGATTTCTAGGAGACATAATGCCCGGAAGGAACCCCTGTTCCGCGTAGAACCTGCGGCTCCTCTCAGCTCGGCGCTGGCCGGGGAGTGTGGGGGCGCCGTGTCCCCCGAGTGTGTCTGTCCGGCTGCTGGGATCAGGAACCAGAGCGGGGGCTCGGGGGCCCCTTCCAGCACAGCGGGAGGAGCTGCCGGTCCACGGCAGGGGAGGTGGCCGTCCTGCACTCTGTCCAGCCCTGGGGCAGTGGTGGCCTGTCCCTCACGGGGACCTGTGGCCTCAGGGGCAGCTCGTGGTCCCCTGCTCAGGGGGTCAGTGTCTCTCGAGAGGAGGGAGCCAGGGCCCCCTGAGCGGCCCCACAACACTCGTCGTGGCCACACTGAAGTGGCTGGGCCTGGATGCGAGGACAGCCCCGTCCCTCCATGTCCCTTCGGGAAGCCCTGGGCCAGGCAGACTGGGCCTGCTAGCAGCCCGTGCTGCTTCCTGGCCGAACATGGCGGGCTGGGCACCCTGGAGGCTGGGCCCTGGGAGGCCAGCCTGACGTCCCGGCTATGTCCCAACCACCATGCAAGTGACGTCATCCTCGGGATGTGGGGGCCGGGGCTGGGGGTGACAGCTCAGACCTGAGAGGGGCCCCCCTACCCAGCCAACTTCTAGCACCCCCCAGCCAGGAAGAGGTGGCCTTGGTGGAGCCCCAAGCTCAGGCTGTGCCAGACAGCGTGGCCACGGGGGCCGGGGCCTGGGACAGTGGGGCTGTTCCCTCTGGGCCCTCTAGGAGGTGGCCGCGGCCAGGTGGGTGCCCCCTGCGAGAGGGCCTCCCCTCCCAGCCCCCCTCCAGCCCCCATCAGGACCCCTCATCGGGGCCCCTTTGGGGCACGGTCAGCTGCTCGTAGGTCGGGAGGGAGCCGCTGGGCAGGAAGAGCTTGGGGTCGATGGTGCCACTGCCGCAGGCCCGGACTGCTGGGGCCCCACCCCCGCCAGGGGCGCCCGCCGGGGGGCTGCCGCGGTGCAGGGCGAGCAGCTGGTGCAGCATGTCCGTGATGAGCGCCAGCCTCTGGTCCAGCTGCGTCACCTGCGGGACAAAGGCAGATGTGAGCTGGGGGTGGGACGAGGCTCAGGTGTGCAGATGGCCCAGGGCCGGCGCTCGGGGGAGGCCCGGGGAGGGGAGTGTTGGTGGCACACGCGTGTGCGCCCGTGTGCCTGTGCAGGCCCCTGGTCACACCTGTGAGCAGACTGTGCATACCCGTGCCCACTGGGGCATGTGGCCTGTGTGCCCAGTGCCCGTGTGTGTCCACACGTGTGTAGCCCCTGGGTGAGGGACAGCCCCTCTCTTCCTTGGCCCTCAGCCCCCAGCCTGGCGGCTGGAGGTCCCTCTGAGACACCCCCAGGCTTACTGCCCACCGTGGCCCTGGCCAGACTTCCAGTGGCATTAGGCGTGGCAGGGTCTGCACCAGGGACCGGCCCCGAAGGGTCGGGTCTACTGCAACCTGTGGCTTCCTGGGGTCAGGCCCGGGGGGCTTCCGGGTGAGGAGGAAGGGAGGCCGGGCTGCATGTGCTCAGAGCAGGGCAGAGCGTGGCGGGGCTGGCAGGGGCGGGTGAAGAGGGCAGGGGCCTAGGCGCTTTCTGCTGGGACCCGCAGGCACCGGCCGCCTGGCTTGGCAGGGCCACTGCCTTCTTCCCAGACCCCATCTGCACTGGCTCCCCGGGCAGGAAGCGGGAGCACCCTCCCAGGCCGGCCATGGGGCCTCCACCTCGAGTTCCCCAAGGGCCGGCTCTGTGCCGAGCCTCATGCCAGGGTGGCCGCTGGGAAAGGCTGGCAGGGAGGTGGAGGCAGGAGGGGTCCTGAGACGTGCGGTGCAGAGTGGGGACTGTGGCATCCACAGAGAAGCCCCAGGTAGGCTGAGAGCTCCCGGGAAGGACAGGGCCACTGGGCTGAAGCCAGGCCTGGGAGGGAAGTCGAGGCAGGGCCCATGCTGGGGCGGGGAGGGCAGGGAGGGCGCCCAGGTTGGGGATGGTCCCCCAGGAGGAGGTGCCCAGCCAGGGAGCGGGTCTGGGAAGGACGGGCAGCTGGATGGCGGCCACAGGGGAGGGTCCTTCTGCCTACAGCGTCCCTGGGGGGTGCCCCCCGAGAGTGCTGTGCCCAAGAGTGAAGCAGCCACTGCCGCCACCCCCACCCCCACGGGAGCCTGGAGCGCTGGAAAGGCCGGGGAGGCGGCGGCCGGGCCGGTGCACGGGGCACAATGGCAGAGCCGCCGCGGGGAGACTGCGGCTTCTGGGGGAAGGAAACCACACGATGACTCAGCCCGGTGTCAGCCGCCGGCCGCGGCCACCCGCTCACACGGACACGCACCGCGGTGCAGGGTGTCCGTGCCCCAGGCTGCCGGGCTGGGCCTCCCAGACCCCACTGCTGACCGGGCCAGACAGGCAGGGCAGGGTGGCGGTGCTGAGCCAGGGTCGATGGCGGGGAGACGGCTGCAGGGAAGGTGCCGCGGAAGGAGCGGGCATGTCCTGCGCTGGCCGGAGGCGGAGCAACCCGTTTGCCAGGTTCCTGGGCAGGTCCCGGCCAGCCCAAAGGACAGAGCAGTGTGCTGGTGCTCAGCAGCCCGGCAGAGGGGAGGGGAAGGGAGAGGTGGCCGGGCAGGGCAGAGTTGAGGGGTGGGGTCTCCCCTGAGTGGGGCCAGAGTGCCTGTCCCAGCAGCCCGGGAAGGCCAGGTGGGCACCCTCTACCTGGGAGGCAGGGCCCTCGCCCCTCCCGGAGGGCCCCAGGGGAGCCACCTCCCCAGCCGCAGTGGTGGCAGCCCTCGCTGGTCCAGGCTCCCTGGCTCCCCGCCTGCCCCTGCCTTCCAGGTGTGGGGGCTGAGTCTGAGACCCACCTATCCTGGGACCAGGGGCGGCTGCACACCTGGGGCCCAGGCCCAGGGCGTTCCAGCCTTTCATTTTCCCAGACAGACCTGCTGCGGAAGCCCGGGCTGCACAGGAGAGGGGTGCGGGGGGAGGCGAGGAGGGGAGCAGGTGGGGAGGGGTGCAGGTGGGGAGGGCCGCAGGTGTCTGTGGTTTGGTCCAGGTAGGGGCCGGGGGCCCTCACTCAGCTCCCCCAGCCCAACGCTGTGGCTCTCTGCAAAGCTGTTTGGGGACCATCCAAGAGGCCTCCACCCCACAGATGCAGACACTGGGGCCAGGAGAGGAAGGGCCTTGGTCAGGGTCACCGGCCGGGACTGCTGTGGCTGCCGTCTTGCCCCTGCAGCCCCGCACCCCAGGGCTCCATGCTGGGACCCTGGTGCTGCCGGGAGCAGACAGGCCAGCCCCTCTGTCCACCTGGACACCAGACCCCAGTGTGTCCTGCTGTCGGCAGGGCCAGCACCCTCAGTCCCGCCGCCTGCTCACGCCCTGGGGGGCCATGGAGGTCACCCAGGCTTCAGGGTCCACACGGGGAAACTGAGGCCTGGGTACCTACAAGTACATGGCAGGTGGAAGCTGCAGCTGGGCTTGACCTCCAGGGCCCACCGGCTGCTCGTGCCCGCACGCTGGCAGGGTTGAGCGAGGCTGGCCCCATGTGGCTCAGTGCCACTCTAGCTGTGCTCGGCTATCGATTGGTTTGGCAGAAATGAAGCACTGAATACGTCACAGACGATAATTTGCGGTTTCATAAATGTTCCCTTTCCGGTGCTGGAAGTTCTGTGAAGCCCCGTGCGTGCTGAGGGGCCCGCAGGCCTTTGCCGGGAATTCCTGGGTCAGGAAGCGGGGTGGCTGGCTACAGGCAGGGCGCTGGGCCGCGGGTGTGGCCGGGGCAGAGCCCCGTATAGAGCCACCGGGGGTGACACCCCCGGCGGGGCGCCCACACTGCGTGGGCCCAGCCTCCTGCTGCAGAGCGGGAGGGAGGTGGCCGCAGGGCCGGGCTCGCCTCTGAGGGACACTGCAGGGCATCCCTGAAGCCACCCAGGCCAGCACCTGCCCCTGCCCTGCTCTGGCTGGTCCCCGAGCTCATCCTGGCTGCTGCCTGTGGCCACTGGGGAATTGAGGGGCTCATGGGGGCCTCTGGCTCCGAGGACGTGCTCCCATCAGGAAGGCTGCTGGAGGAAGGCCCAGGCCGAGCCAGGGCGAGGGCCGGAATCCCAAAGCCCACCCAGGGTCCAGGGCCTGGCGCGGCCACGTCCCGCTCACTCGGGGAAGGCAAGTCTGGGAGGACAGAGAGAAGGTGTGTGATGGCGGCCTCTGACCGCATGGGTAACTGCAAAGCCTCGGGCCACTCTCGGGGTCCTCCCGGTCAGCCCCAGGCCCTCCCAGACCCTCCATCTGGCTGCCTGCCCAGCCCCCGCCCAGCCCGGCAGCCCTTCGTGCTCAGCGCTCTGTGTTTGGCCACAGCGAGTCTCGCGGAGATGTCCCCAGGTGGTCCTGCCTCACCTCTGTCTGCCCTTCGTGCTCTGAGGGCCCAGTGCCTGTACCTCGAGCCTGGGTTTGGTTTTGGGGGTGACGGGAGCCCGATGGGTACTGGACCGGCGACAGAGCCGCCCTGGCCAGAGCCTGGGGCCGGGAGGCCCGTCTGGCAGGTGCCCTGGGGAGGAGCCGCCCTCGCCAGGGGGAGGCAGTGCCCACTCCGGGCACCGGGCACCGGGGCAGGTTCCCCGAGAGCTGCCGGGACAGATCTGTTTTGGGGATCTCGGATCTCGCCGTTATTTGCAATTCGATAGCGATTCCGAGGGCAAGGCAAACAAAAGCTGCTTTGTGCCCTGCCCGACTCACCAAATTAATAACCATAAGAGACTGGCGCAGCCCTTGAAGAGGGAAAAGCAATTAGAATAACAGCTCGTTAGAGCGCCCCGGGCAGGGTGATCACACCCAAGGCAACGGGCGCTCCTGTTTGATGTGGTTATACGTTTGTTTTCAAAAGGAAATCTTGAAAAAGAGTCTTTCAAAGGAAATTTCGGCAGAACCTGCCCAGCCTTGATCCCTGAAGGCCCGGCCTGCTGGATGCCTTGGGCTGTCTCCGCCAGGCTGGCCAGGGACAGGCGGGAGAGCCGGGCACACCAGGGCCGGACTTGGGGGGACACCCTACAATCTGCCCCTGGAGCTCCCTGGGACACCCTTACTGGTCAGTGCCTGCAGGCAGGGTGGGGCTTTGTCTAGGGCCAGCCCAGGGCCCTCTGTATGGTCACAGGGCAAAGGTCACTTCAGCTGTCCTCTGTCTGCCCTGAGGAACAAGTTGCTAGACATGCTTAGGTGCTGAGCGGCAGTCCTCGCCAGTCTACACCAGGTGCTGAGCAATCGGAAGCAGCCCCGGCTCCCACAGGGGCTGTGGACGGCTGGGGTAGGGGTGGGGTCCAGGCACGGGGTGGGGCACACAGAGGCCGGGTACCCAGCCAGAACTACCCTGGCTGTGATCGCTCGGCGGAGAGCTGACTGGTGGCACATCACCCACCACCACACCCTCAGACCTGTCCCAGGCCACCTGCCCCCCTCCCCACCACCCTGCCCCCCCAGCCAGGCGGGGGTGGGGCAGGCTAACACGGGCACCAGGCCCCCAGAGCTGTCCAGCCTGGGCCTGAGGTGCACAGGAGGAAAAGGAGAATTGATGACAGGAGGTGGCCTGCCCAGGGCCACCTGGGGGGACACCTGCTGACCCAGGCCCAGCAGGGCACAGAGACGAGCTGGGGCAGAAAGTGGGGGCTGGTGGGGGGCTCGTCCATGTGCCCGGGGCGCACGCCTCTCACTCGGCATCCTTTTACAGGGGCGGCCCCCCGCTTCCTAGACAGCAGGGGGGAGGCAGGACACAGGGCGGCAGTGAGGCCTCTGCTGAGCTCCCCGCCTCCCTCCTGCCCTGGCTGTGGGCCTGCCGTGCCTGAACAGCCACCTGCCACCCGCCAGCGTTGGCAAGTGATACCACTGAGTCCCAAGCAGGCCTCACATCCCCAGCTGCATCTTGGGGGGACGGCGTGAGCTGGGCGCCTTCCCGCAGCCCACCCCACCTCGGCCTCCACGCTGCGACCCTTCCCAGAAGCAGGCCTCGTCTCGCTCCCAGGAGAAGCCCGGGCCCTCCTGTGGCCCCAAGGCCCCCAGGCCACGCTCCTCAAAGGG